CCCTTTCATTCATTTGAATGGAATCGGTCCGTCGGCTCAGTAGGGGAATGCAATATCAGCAAAATGCAAGTAGCAATGGCAATGGAACAATTAGTTGCTGCTGCAATAAGTTTTCAGAGTTGTTGTCACCAACCTACTAAAATGTTATTCACCAAGGATTTGATGGTGTAACCGTTTGTGAGAAGAGGCGCTTGCACTGTTCAAACTGTCGAGAACTCGTTGAAAATGATTAGATACTCCTACCGTTTCTCGTTGGACGTCCCAGTCACACCTCTCATCCCGAGACAGTTACAGCCCTGCACAATTTCTCACGGGACGTTGCCTTCGCATTACGTCGGCCACCTATCTAGTGGCGCGACAGCCACCTCTACTCAAAATCTGCAAACGGGGAGAGGGGGAAGTGCTGGATGGGTGCTAAACGTTTCAGAGATCTTGTCGCCTAAAGAATATGTGCGAATCTCTGCTCCCAAAGCACAATGCACGTTGACATATAAACCCTACGGCCAAGAATCTCACCTGGGCACTGGATCACATTAGACTCTGAGGAGAACTTGTAACCTAGTTGTAGTTCTTATTGCTCCCCTAGGGTTGCAATAGAGTGAGTTGAAAGGCAGGTAGATCGCATGAAGACGCCAAAGGATGCCGGTGCCACCGACCAAGAGTTGTTTTCAATGCACGTGGAGTGACGCCAGACACCAGAGTGACATCTCAGTTCAGCTTGAGATATGGATTTTTGAATGGAGTTGTCTATTTTTTGAAGTGAAATGCTTTCCCTCCAGTGGGACTGATGGAACTCCTTCAGGTTAAGCTGAGGGTAAAAGGAGTTTATTGGTGGATCAATACAAACCCTTCTTCCACCTGTCAGTGATGGTCCGCTTGTAACCTTCTAAACGCCCCCAGCTTGGCTCTCCAGCACTTTCCCTGGTCCCTAGGGAAGGCTGTTGTGACAGTCCTAATTATATGATCAGAGTCATTCATCAGGGTTGTACAAGAAGGAAAGAGCCACTTGCAGTGGAAATATGCAGCATCCCATGATTACCGATTACTGGGTCACTATACTGACACGTACAGCAGGTCACTGTGATTCATTGTGTACACAATTAGATGCAGAAGTATAGGAACAAAGCTGTTGATCAACAGTTGGCACAGTCTACTTTAAAATCAAATCAAGGCCTGTATGATATTCTTTTATTCTAGTGTTTTTTTAACAACAACGCTGACTTCACATGGATAGGAATATATTTTGGTTTGATGATCATAATCATTTTATTTATGTGTCATTTTCACACAAATATAACGTTGTTGGTATTGTTCTGATAAGATGCCTGTGTAAATGATCAATATATGGCCAGTTTGGACTGCATGGTCCATCTTCTATCTGCCAAATCCTTGTCACTATCTCCATCTGAGGCACTTAAGATGGAACAATTTCCCCCTAACTAGACAAACCTCTGTAATCACTGATTACCACCTACAGCTCCCTGCAATCAGCCACCACCACCCTAAGACAGAAAACAGTGCGTCTGTGTGTGTTGCGGGGGAACACTTTACTATACACTCACGCGCAGATCCGAAGGTGGAGGATAATGAGGGCAATTGTTGTTCATCTCTGGAAAAGCACAAAATCTGAAACAAATGCAAACAATCCACACACACACACTCACGGGTTGAGTGGCCATGCGGGCTCAATCAGTCCTACCAGAACAAATAGCTCAGCTATCATTATCCCATCACCTCACCTCCGGCCTGTGATAAAAAATGTAAAACTATTTAAAAAACAAAATCCAAGCCATTAGCTACAGGCCATATTGCAGCTGGCTGTCTGCTTTCGCTATTTAAAACCAATGCTTTAGTGAAGCTTCGTGAAAATATACACATGGACAATATTTAACTTTGTACTGGATGTGCAAAAAGTAGGAGATCAATCTTTGCACAGAAACCACTCACCATCCACACACGCACACATTCCTCCTTCCTTCAATCGATGTGGCGGTACGGCACGCTGTAGCTCATCACCAGACTGTGTTCTGGGAGCCAGCAGAGAAAGAGAGATGGTGCTTCCCCGCCCAGGTCACTGATCTGTGTGAATTATAGATCAGAGCTTTTTCTATACCGGGTTTTGTAGTCGGGCCTGTGCGGCACGCCAGGCAGAGCAAGAGAGTTATGGGCACATACGGGAAGGACGGAGAAGAAGAGAGCGAACTGTGGAGCACATTTCCACAATAGGATCTATAATTTCACCACAACTAAAAAAACAACTAACTGCACTTTTTAGTCAGACTCATGCGGTGTGGCTGATCTGCTGCTGCGGGTCAAGTGTTCGACTGCACTTGGCCGACGAAGCACTTCAGTAAAGTGTGTTGGGTGATACTTTATTACTGGATTTTGAGGCCTCGTCTGACGGACGATCCCTCTGTAGACATCGTAAATATTTGTAGTATTTTTCTTATCTGTCTCCCTTTCCTAGATTTCGTTCTTTGGATCCTGACAAGCAAAAATACTGGCCTCATGTGGCGTGTTGTGGAGCTACGGCCGCCAAACTGGCTAACGACACTGGCTAACAAGTCCTATTTACCTTCTTTTCAGTCATGCACTTGAGGCCAACATGCTTAATTCTACTATTGTATTTTAATGTCAACGTTTTAGGGACCCAATACATTTTAGAAGTTGCACAGGGCTAGCTAATCTAGTTTAGATTTCACAGGTACATTTGTTTTTTGTCTCTTGTTTGCATGCATTTCTGCAATGCAACATGGCGGCGTTACACCAGTGGCGTAATCCTCATTAAAATCAAATCAAAGTAATCTAATCTCTCAGTCAAGGCGCATAAGCAATCACACATTAATCAGTTGGTCAGCGATCATGCACACGCGGGCACGCACACGCATGTACTGCATGAGAACACGCACATTCGCCCGTTTAAATCAGCTGCGTTTCACAGAGATCTGAGTACCGCAGTATTCGCCCAGCTGATTGACTCGACCAATACCTACACTTTAAATATATTACCACTCCATCCAGCACATTGCCGTGACACAAGCTCTGATGAGACTCTCCTATAAAAGTCTGCTTGTTCGTTCGAGGGTTTGCGTGCCGGTGCTTGCATGTAAACGGTGATGTTGGCCTGTGTGACTCTGCGTCTCGTAGAAGGTTTTCTCTTTGATCCGTGCAGCACAGTGCGGCCGAGAATGGCCCAGCGCACAGCAACCTTAACTGTCCCTGAGAATCGCAGCACTGTCCCCCTCCGCTGTAAAGCTGACATGAGCGACTGACTCGGCTCTCTGGAGTCAATCGTGGACTGGACTTGATCGCGAGGTCTCTCTGTCTACGAGTCTGCACCAGTGAGCGACACGTGACACTTAAAGGTTCAGTTTGTCGTAGCAATCGGCAGTTGTGGAACTACGTTACATTGCATGTCATTTAGCTGACGCTTTTATTCAAAGCGACTTACAATAAGTGCATTTCCACCAAACAAGAAAGGGCAAGTTCGTTAAATAAGCTGATTGATTGAATGATTTACAACTCGCTATAGATAAGAGCCATTACAAGTACAATCTTATGTGCTACCATTTCTAATCCTTTTTACTCGAGGTAGAGTCTGAAGAGGTGTGTCTTTAGTTTGCGGCGGAAGATGTGAAGGCTCTCTGCGGTCCTGGTGTCCTCAGAGAGCTCGTTCCGCCATTTAGGAGCAAGGACAGCAAAGAGTCGTGATCTAGTCGAGTGTTTTGCTCTCAGTGAGGGAGGGACGAGCAGTTTAGCAGATGCAGAGCGGAGAGTCCGGGTCGGGATGTCGGGTTTGACCATGTCCTGGATGTAAGCTGGACCCGATCCATTCACAGCATGGTAGGTGAGCACCAATGTTGTTGAAGTGGATGCGGGCAGCCACCGGTAGCCAGTGAAGAGAGCGGAGGAGTGGAGTAGTGTGGGAGAATTTGGGAAGGTTAAAGACCAGTCGAGCTGCTGCGTTCTGGATGAGCTGCAGAGGTCGAATGGCGGCAGCAAGGAGACCTGCCTGATGTTGGGAGTCAGGGAGAGTCGGCTGTTCGAGTGTCACGCCGAGGTTCCCGGCAGTCAAAGTGCCGTACCGTTCGCCGGTCGGACCCTCAGCAGCGCCAGGCTCCCCCACCCCCCGTCGACCGTAATGGTTTGGCCCGCGTTCAGTCGAAGTGGGCTGCATCTGGCACCTGAAACGAGTTTGAGACCCCTGCTTTAAAGGCTGTCTATGCGATGGATAAAGTCCAGTCATTTTGCTCGTGTTTTTCATTTTGGACAGGCTTTTAAAGGCGCACAATCCTAATAGAAGTTGTGTTTTTCACCGACGTGTGTTACACCGTTCAAAAACCAGGAGAAAGCTCGATAGGCCTGGCTGTGTGTAATTTTACGGTTGCTAAGCTGCGGTTGGAAAGCCCACGATCGGGGGAAGGTGTTTAGCAAACAGTCAAATCCCTGAATAATTAAAAAGGTGGCAGCGATAAGGTCATAAGAGTAAAAGCGACAGCTCCGGTCTTATTTTGAATCCGCCGGCTCCTCTGACAGTTCACTGTGTTCTTACCCACTCACTGGAATCCTCTCTTTTTTCTTCCTTTTTTCATGCCACTCTTTGAGGAAGTGCTCAGGTTAACAAACTTTGAATAGATTTCCTCTCAAGTTTTCATTGCAGCACTTGTGCCAAGTTTAAACAGGTCCATTGCAGTGATTGATCACCTACGGGTCAATACGCTTTGAGCTGAATGCTGGCTTCACTTTGTCTTTGTGTTGTGTGCAGCAGTGACTGAGGCTGACATCTAAAGAGTTCATTGATTTCTAGTTTGTATTTTGTTCTTACAATGCTGACATTTCAGTCTGGCTTTGTGTTAATTCTTCTTAAAACTGAAACGAAACCATAAAACCAAATATCAATTTCCCAGGCCGGGCTTTGGGCCAGACCAAAAGCTTATTAAAGTCCTGACAGAGCAGAATTATTTACTTCTTTTTTTTTCCAAACAATTAAATGTGCCCAGGTTTACGAGAAAGGAAGCAACGTGGAGCAGTTTGTGACCCGTTTCCTTCTGAAGGAATCATCCAATCAGATCCAGTCTCTCCTGAGCTCCGTGGAGAGTGCCGTGGACGCCATCGACGAGCAGCACACCCAATCACGGTGAGCCAATGGGGGTGTCGGTGCGTCAGGCTACTGAGTGTAAAAATATGTGTGTGTGTGTGAAACCTGGAAGTGTATAAAATGTTCTCACACACACACACACACACACACTCTCTCTTGTTAATTGTATTTTCATCACACTTTCTCCCTCTTCTACATTTTATTTCTCCGTCCAACCATCTTTCCATTGAAATATTTAACAAAGGTTTTCTCATAATCTAATTCTCTATTTTTCTCGCTTTTCATTTCTCTTTTTGTCAGTCTGCCTGCCAAAGTGAGTCCACGGATGTCAGAGAGGCGCAACGAGAACGCCGTCCCCGACTATCCCCCCAACAACAGAGTCAGCGCCGGAACCATCAACACTGCCTCAGGTGACAAACACACAGGAGACACACACACAAACACATACACACACACACTGCAGCAGCGCTTCTGACTCCATGGTTTGGGGGGGGGGGGCGCACCCGCTTTTCCTGTACTATACTCTACTATATACTGTACTATACTGAGTGAGCTTAAACTCGTCTGCTTTTCAGCATTTATTCATCCACATTCATGCACACACACACACACACACAAACACACACGCACACACACACACACACGCATTCTCATCCCTACATAATTGACTCTCCATTGTGAAAGCCCTCAAACAGCCACATGCACAGGTTTGATGCAAATGTCCAAAAGCGGACAAGTCGGTGCAGATAAGGAGGGAGGGGGGTGAAGGGGGGGGGGAGTGAAGATAAAGGGAGAATGTAGATGTTCAGGTCAAACCTTTAAGGATGTATATGAGTCCAGTCAGCACTTAACACTCACATTTTCTGCAATGTAATGCTGATTTTTAATGGAGTGCGCGTGCGTCTGTGTGTATGTGTGGGTGTGTGTATATGTGTGTGTGTGTGGGTTGTGTGTGGGTTGGGGAGCGTAGCAGTAACTAAAAGATTTTAGGCTGGCAATTCCCATCAGGATGTGAGTCCCTCATTATTCTTGCTCTTTATATCTCGTCCTCTTTCGCTGCTAATCATCCTCTCTCTCTCTCTCCCTCTCTCTCTCTCTCCCTCTCTCTCTCCCTCGCTCGCTTTCAAGCTGTCACAGTCGTCCTCGCTCCACCAGCTGGTAGTTCACTCGGTCGCGCACGCCTCGCCTTGACACTTTTGACACTCGCCCACTCGAACAAATCGCTCGCTGAAGAAGTGACATTTCGAAAAGTTGTCAGGACATGAAATCGCCACAATGCAACACAAACTTCACACGGCAAACAAAATACTACAGCTGACTCAAAGCATTAGTGCGGCGAAGCTTCCCCGGGCAAAGCCAATCAATCGCTCCTTAAACGCTATTGACGCGTGTCAGTTAAAGGTGCCTGTGGTCTCAGGGGAAGTGTGACGTGTTGTCAACGGACAGCAAGTTTAAAAAAGTACTCACACGCTGTGACAAACGTTAGAGATACCAATACGCATTGCACTCACGCCACAAATTAGATTTACAAGAGTGGGACGCCTCGATAAGATTTAGTCATTTATGGGCTGCATTTAAGTGGGGAGAGCGTTTCTAACAGCTACCAAGAACGGATCTTGTGTTGCCGTCGGACAGGTTTGGGCATGGCAGAGATGGCTCTTTATTCCCACACTGCTTTGAACAGTTTACTCTTTATCGTATTGCTCTAAACGGGTCGTCATTCATAAGACACACGGACAAAAGATGTGTGAAACACGCCGCAGAGACGGAAAACGTGTTAATGAAATCATTCCATCCATCCATCCATCCATCCATTGTCAGACCGCTTATCCTGCACACAGGGTCGCGGGGGGGCTGGAGTCCATCCCAGCCAACTTCGGGCGATAGACAGGGTACATCCTGGATTGGTCGCCAGCCAATCGCAGGGCAACACAGAGACACACAACCATTCACACTCACATTCACACAACTACGGGCAATTTAAAGTCCCCAATTAACCTGATCCCAGAGCATGTCTTTGGACTGTGGGAGGAAGCCAGAGAACCCGGAGAGAACCCACGCAGACACAGGGAGAACATGTCGACTCCACACAGAAAGGCCACTGGGCGGAATCGAACCCAGGACCTTCTTGCTGTGAGGCGACAGTGCTAACCACCACGCCACCGTGCCGCCCTGAAATCATTCCTTAATATTAAAAAAAATTAAATCAAATTAAAAACTACATTTCAGCCCGAAGTTGGCTGGGATGGACTCCAGCCCCCCCGTGACCCTGTGTGCAGGATAAGCGGTTTGACAATGGATGGATGGATGGATGGATGGATTTCAGCACTCACTTAAGAACGTACCACTATCGACGTGCTAGATATATTTTTAGTTCATGAACGTTTTGCTAAAATCAAACTAGGGAGGCGGAAAAGTTCTATTTACAAAAAGCAAGCAGGCTGAGAAACGCACACACACCGCTGTCCAATGTCCTGAAACGAGCTAAGCAATAGTAACATGTTTCACGGCCAATAATAGTCGCATTAAGCTTAAACACAAATGGGATCAATGAGCAACAAAGGAGACATGATTAGAAAATCTGTCTGCAATATCAATCTTGACTGTATAAATTCTTAGTTCTGACGCAGGATTAAATAGGAACAGAGGAAATAAACACTGCATTTCGTGTGTAGGTGTTCTATAATCGCCAAAGTGTATTTTAGCCTGGATTAAGTGTTAAACCATAACATGCAAATCAAAAACAAGCTTTTATTCTACTTCATTTTGGATGTTGAGAAGATGAACATCATTGTCTTGTCTGCTCAACGTATGAAACTATTCACCGGTGTGTCCGAGGCTTGGACCAGGAACAGGGAGCCGTGGTTGCTTTAGACCCTCAAGCGTTCTGTTCCTGCTTAATTATTGAGTAAACTGTCTGGGGAAGAAAATACATTTTCCTTGTAGTCTGGTAGTCTCTCCTTTTTAAATTGCTCTCTCCAGGATATAAGATATATGGCCATGACCCTGATCCAGGTACGTTGGCAGAGAGATATGGGCACGAGATGACAAAGGCCCCTGACAGTGACGAAGCAGTCCAATAAAACCAGACTAGAGCGCCGCCGTGTAATAACGTGTCCCCCAGGAAAAATACTGTATGCGATTGTGTGATACACTGACACAGTCCAAGTAAACATCTTCTTATTCTGATTTCAAAATTGTTTTCTTTTTGCATTTTGCACATTTTCAAAATACAGCATTGCACCTGCACCTGAATGGTCAAATAAAATTATTTCACATAAACCAAACTGGAGAGAAAAGCTACTCAATTGATTTTATTTAAATAACAAAGCTTTTGCTTTACTGTTAAAACGTCGTTGTTAATGAAGGATTTGCGTGCTTTTCATTTTTATTCCTATATAATGTGAATGTTTAAAGCATCGTGTCATGTACTGTATGACAGACGATTTCAATACACATAGAATTTCAAAAGAGTTTAGCCGAAAAGGTGCATGCCACTAAAGAATACAGGTGTACACAGGTAATGTTTTTGCTGACCACTGAGAAACTCACCATGAACTAATTAGTGCAAGATATTTACATTACATCAACTGTTTTGAAGCAAATGTTGCACAAAAACAATGAACTATTGCACCCCGGCTTCTCTTCATTTCTTTCCTCCTGCCCTGCATCAAAATGTTAAAGAAGATCAGGTAAACGCGCAAAAATATCTCTTTGAAGCGCCGTTCAGAGACGACAGCTCCAACCGACGGCCCCGTTCTTCCTCTTTTGGCCCAGCCGTCGGTCGCCGGCGACGTGGGATACATTTGCGCTCACGGCGTGTCAGAGAAGGCCTCTGAGCGACGACGCACTGCAGCCGCTGGCGTGGAAATATTTATGGCGCCATGTGTTTCCAGCACGAGTGCTCCCCACATTTACAGTCTCACACCCGCTCTTCCCGAAGGGGGAAGCGGCGCCTGATCTCAGGACTTTCCTGGCTGGTTTCCGCTCCCTGTGCAGCTTCCGTGTTCGGAATAAAGGCATTTAGTCGTGTTTTTTTTTGTTGTTATAATTTTTCCATTAAGTGGGACCGCTAGACTCACTGCGCTGTAGGCTTTAGTTTACACACATGCCCCCGAGATTCAGAATAGAAGATGATGTTGTTGCTGGCAACTCACTCTGCCCAAAACAGAGATATGGGTTCATTAATGTCCGTGTAGAATTCCGATCACGTTGTTGTTAATGTTTCCATCTGATAAACTCTAGAGACGCTAAAGCGAATTAATCCGGCATGTTTCACGTTGCAGAAGCAAAGAAAATGGACTCCTGCAGCTCAAAGTCACCGTGAAGAAACCTGAACTAGTAATGTCTCAATTTACTATCGATTAATCGCTTTATCAGTAGTATTGACTGTGAGAAATATCTTTCCGTATTTCCCCCGGCGTATCGGATGAAGCGCCCCCCCCTCTCTACTGTGACCACTGTAGCCTGCAGGAGACCATGATGTCGGCTGCGCTTTGCCTCGAGTCGGAACAAGTCGATTGATGGATGACTCTCAAACCCTGTCTCCCTGTCCTACACCTTAACCTCCCCCATCACACATCAATTACTCTGCACTCCTGAGGCATTGTTTCCCTCCCTCATGCTTCTCCCCCGCACATGGCGGCATGCACGCCGAGGAGTCTACAATGCACTTTTGTTATTTCTGCGTTTCACAGAGCAGTGTGTTTGTTTTCACTGCGAATTGATCTGAGTCTTTGCAGGGAGACGGGCAGAGGTGTGGCGGGGGGGGGGGGGGGGGGCCATCTCCACACATGGAAAAAAAGATTAAAGGGAGGGGCTCTCTAGGGGAAAAAACACAAAGAACCAAGGGGGAGGGATACGGGGCCAAAAATATCCTCCAGCACCAAGTCGAGCAGCTTGTGCCATGTTGTTTAACACACAGTGACACTTTTTAGTTTTTAACGTGAATTATCTGCAGTTTATTATCTCGTTGCTCTCTCAGGCACAAGCCTGTGTGTCGGTCCAAGTGTGTGTGTGAGATCATGTGCACCCGTACACCCAGAATGTGTGCGTGTCCTTTTGTACGTTTCCTTTAACATTTCGCAGGTATATCCCTGCAAGCGCAAATTGACATTTAGGTCATTTTTCACAAATAGTGTTTGCGTGTGCACATGCAGCTCTGCCTGACGTTATGTGACTGAGATGGAGGCACCATAAGCGGTCCACTCTGCCGCGACGGTCGTCATGCAAGCACCAATAGAACATATAATACACTGTTCATTTATAAATAAGCGCTCTTTTTTTAACACCGTCCTTGTAGTTATACCGTTGATTATTATAATACCATCGGTATGAAGTACTGAATATTGTGAACCACTGAGATGATGCATTTTGATTTGTTTTTCTTAAATATTTTTTTATTCAGCTCCACGTATTGCAGATTACTTTGCATCCACATTGAATCTCTACATTTTGGACATATTGCAATCGGTTTTGGACGGCCCAAACTCAAACCTGTCAACAGGCAGAACATTCATATTTATAGATGCTACAAAAGCTTTGATAGTGTGAATATAAAGTTATACAATTACTGTTTGTCATGCATTTCAAGTAACTGCTGCTAGGCTTGACAAATAAGACACGTTGCAAAGAATTGTCTAATATTACTGTATTCTGTGATATCTTGAAAAATATAGTTTAGAAGCCATTTCAAATATACATTCACAAAAGGGTAGCTGGCTAACAGCCTCTAATCATTTGCAAATAAACCAAATTAAACCAAATCAAACCGTTACCACCTCGAAGGATGAATGCTGCTATGCCGAGCAAATAACATTAAAGATAAGATAATCCTTTATTAGTCCCGCAGCGGAGAAATTCACAGGATCACAGCAGCGAAAAGTTTAAACGAGATGAAAAACTATTATAAATAGTGATAAAATATCAATAAACCACAAATAAATATGTAATAGTGAAATATGTTACGTACAGACAGAACAATTAAGTGTTTGTATAGCACAGTGTTGATGTTGGTGCACGTATTTAAAATCAGAAACATCCATATTTATGTTACGTTAAGTTACGCTGCCGTGTCGCCTGTGTCAATGCGCTCCTTGATCGGCCCTTGAGGGGGGAGGGGACCAGAGATGACACGGTGCAGCCATTGGGCCTCCAGCGCGCAGCAACTTGTGCCAAACATACTTAAAAACAACAACAGACGTAAGCAGGGTCGAACAAACATTTGTGAACTTTAGCGTGTTAGTGTAATGATTCGTGTGAACACATTTGAATACCGGCGCACGCAACGGGAAGTTAAATTGGGTGAATGTTGATTAACTCAAATCAGGTTTAATTGAGGAGAAAGCCTATAGAGACCCCCCTCACCTCGTTGCTGTAATTCCTCCCACACTTCTATAATTGAACTAGACACTTAACTTTCTAAGTCTGTCTGAATGACCACTGGGCTTTTATCTCCGACCGTCTCCATGGTTACAGGCTGAGTTGACGCGAGTGTTTGCGGTGCAGGGAGGAAGCTCCTAATTGACTGGCTGTTAAAGCTTTTAATGAAGAGCGGTGCAGCCGACGCTCCAATTAGCTGTGAGGGGCCATCGGGGGGGTGAAAGAGGATGGCAACCCAGGGGCGAGCGCAGGAGGGCAGTGAGGAACCAAGCGAGGAGAGAGGAAATGAGGGCACGAGAAGGTGAAGAGAGTGGCGTGAACGACGTGGTGGCAACGCGGTTTAATTTTACATTTCGAATCGATAAGACTAAAACGAGAACCATGACGTTCATCTTTCGTCCAATTTATTTTGACTGAAATCCTAGTTCTTTAGAATGAATAAATAACATGCTGTGTTCAGAAAATTGTCAAGGTTGGGTAGGAAGGCAGGACTCAAATGCAGAGTTCGATTAACAAAAGAAGACTTTGATAGTCAATAGGCCACACACACACACACACACACACACAGGGCAAAAAGGCAGGCAGGATGATTGACAATGACGTGACAAGTGACAGGAGACACACACAGCTTAAATACACTAGGGAGGTGCAGGTGATTGGACACAGGTGGAAACAATCAGACAATCACAGGGGATGACAGGACAAGGCAGGAAGTGAAGTTACCCAGGGAGACAAGAAGCAGAAAACTACAAAATAAGACAGGGAATAAAACCACACCGTGACAAAAATGCTGTTTAAAACAGCTTGATTTCATCCTGCGTATACATCTATAGTAAAGTATTAAAAAGCATCAATGCACATTACCTCATTGGCGGCTTTCATTGCAACAAAGTAAACACTGCCAAAGTGCCAAAGTGAAATATCGCTAAAAGACCAAAGATAATTACAAAGAGCCCAGTGGAATACGAGAGCACCTCAAAGAAGCGGGCTTCCCATTCATCTATTCCTTTAACCGTCCAAGTTCCCTCCGATAAACAGATATAATTGTCTATTTATCAGCCTCCCACTTTACATGAAATATTCATGATGGAGAAAAATAAATGAAATCACAGAGCAGTGAAGAGGAAAGAGCAAAGATAGCGTAGCATCATGTGGTATGATCGTTCAGGTACTGCACGGTACCTGCTCGATGCCAGTTTGTCAACTGTAAGACAAAGACAACGCCACCGCGCTCACGTCTGAGCAAATGTAATCGCTGCGCAGAAATGGCCCATGCAGCTCAATGCACCGGTTGGCTCCGCGTGTTTAGGTTGTGTGTGTTGTTTGTTTGTGTGTTGCAGGCGCAGTAGAGGTGAGGAAAGAGGGTCTGGACACTCAGATCAACCGGCTGGCTGAGCTGATTGGACGCCTGGAGAACAAGGTAGGAACACACGCACACACTTGTGCTTGTTTTGGTGGCTTGTGAGGACATTTCGTTGACTAACATTGATTGCCATGAACCTCTAACTAACGATAAGCACCACATTCCCAACATCAACTGTAATTAAAGCCTTTTTAGGTTGGCAATGTACAATATTTTTCTTATTGTGAACAAAGGGAAAACAGATGACAATGATTTGATTTGGTTAACTGTTGCCTTTGTATCGAAATTGTGGAGGATATTGTTTTCTCTGTGCAATCGATCACTTATTGTCGTCCAAAACCAATAAGAAGACGTCAGTGAGAGACAACAAGAGACTGGTTCCCTCATCACCATGGAGACACACACACTCGCACGCAGCGTCCCGAGCTGTACACGATCAACTCTCGCTTCTGATTAAAGCGAAGCGGTAGAAATTACAGAGGAATATTTTTCCCATTTGAAGAAATGAATCATCAGTAAGAGCAAGTCAATGCGTATGTTAATGTGTGACGCTTTTAAATATTAATAAGTCCACCGAGCATTTCTGTTTTACCTGGTTTTAAACATTTTAGGGGCCTCGAAAGTGTCCATCTAAAAGAAATATAGTAATACTACTGGAAAGTATTGAGAGACAGACGAATAAACTGCATAAATTGCTGAAACAATGGAAAAACAAACTCTGTTGCACTTTTGGTTTCTCTTTTAGATTTTTAGCTGAGCTCATCCTGAAGACTGCGAGCGCTGCTCTATCAACTAGAATCAGCCCCAGTCGGCGATCTTGTCCTCGCACTAATCTCCTTTTTCACTAAGTGGTCAGCGTGTTGAGGATTTGTACATCTGAGATGCTAAACTGTCCAAATTGTACGATGCCGCAGCAGCAGAGTGAATTTCAAGGTCAAGGACAGTAAAGGAGCAGCGGGTTGGATAAGGAGTTAACTAACAATGCAAGATGGAGAGGAAAGGGCGGAGGTAGGGAGGGGACGAAAACAGAGACAGGGGAGGCATTTAAAGACCTTTTGTCCAAACGTCTCGTGCCTCCTCATCCTTCTCTCCTCCCCTTCACCATTTTTACCCCCTCTGACACCTCATCCCTCCCCTGTTCTGTGTCTCCTCACCCCACCTTCCCTATTTAGTTGTCCCTCCGTCCCCCCTGCATTGCCTGCGTCCCGGCCAGTGCTGGACATGTTAAGGCTAATGGAGCCTCAGCAGACTTGGCTGTCCTCGGGTAAAAAGCTGGGCCACTTCAGCAGAAAGAGCTAAGAATAACTAAACCCAAAGTATAGCCAGGGGAGGGAGGGAGGGAGGGGAAATCACTGAAAAGAAATACAGTATGAGAAGAAGAATGAAATGGAAGGGAGTGGCTCATGTTTGATTAGATCGTCTATATTGCGTGTTTAGAATCGACCTCTTGCCCTTGCCCGGATGCTAATTTGATATTCTTCTCACAAACGGTTCAGGTTTAAGCTGAATTGCTTCACTCAGTCGAATGACCTCCGTGGTGGTGGTGGGTGATTGAAACGCCTTCCACCAAAGAATCGTTCAGTAATCACCTGTGACCCTGAAGCCCTCCTGAGATTCAATTACTCTGCTCACAGTGACGGTGGCACAAAAGGCTGTGTGATCCTTACCTACTTAGACAGGCACTGAAGACAGGATCTCCACGGGAATGATTTATTTAAGTTGTTTGTTTGTTTTTAAGACGGAGAACTAGCCAGTAATGAATTGGGTGTTTGACAATTGTGCAAAGGGGAAAGCAGAGACGACAATGAGGTTGCTTTAATTTCTCCATTCTTTTTCCGTCTCATAAACAAGCCAAATCCAAAGTGACAAGTCAGCTATCGGGAAGGCAGCTTCAATCATGGCCCAAATAACCCGAACAAAAAACATTGTATACCCTTATGAATGAGTAACAATGAAACAAGAATCTGTGCGAGTTAAAGGAAAGATGATCAGACCTGACGTCGGGCAAAAACCTTCCTGCGTTTGAACAATTCACTTTATTTTCTGTAGCCCAAAGTTGCAAATTATAAATTTGCCTCAGAGGGCTTTACAGTGTGTAAAATGCCCGTCCCGAAACCCTCACACAGGAAAACACCCCAAAATATGATTTAAAAAAAAGGCAAAAGGCAAAAACCTTAGGGAGAAGGGCGGAGGAGGATCCCTCTCCCGGGATGGACGGAACAAACAAGGCAGACAAATCCAACGCAGTCTAACTTGGAGAGGGACGGTCACGCTACACCAGATCTCCATGTGGAAACAGCAACGTGTTCTGTGGCGGTCTGACCTTCTGTGTCTGTGATGTCCATTCTCCCGGAAGCGTGACGTTTTGGTTTCCACGGTAACTCCCCAAATCACCTCCACATCCGCGTCCCTGTTTTTCTTCCTTTGTTTTTTTGTTGTTATGTGAACTTTTGACCTTGAGAGGTGCTGGTACGTGTTTAGCCAGCGGGTTCTATACACTAAGCTACGTAACTGGCTGTTGGCTGCGTCTTTATATTCGGCGTAGGGACATCAAAGTGGTGTCAATCCTTTTAAGTAACACTTAAAATGAGAGAAAATTGTAGCATTTCTGAAAGATTATCTTAATCATGCGCAAATAACATAACCCTTGATAACATCTTTCAAGGGTTATGGTTGACTTAAAGACAGAGAGATTATGTGAAATACCCCCCACGTCTCTTCAGTGTAGACTAGAAACATTTTAAAGATGCAATTCTCAGTTTATCTTCAGAGTAAAATGGGTTTTTTTACAAGTACCTCACTATCAATCCTCCTTCTGCTGTGAATGGGCCTAAATTAACATTTCTCTCGTAAATGCTCATTTACTTGCCAAACTTAAATAACATCCAAGAAGAAAAAGAAGTTATACAACATGGCTTTTTTTTTTAATACATCCTCTCATGCTTGTATAAGTCTTGCCAAGATGCTACATTACAAGATGATTTTCTTTCTGAAACAAGGAAATTCCTCTCAAAATGACCCGTCCAGTGACAACACAGAAAAGCCCAAAGAAAGTTTACATTGTACTTTTATTTTGGAGACTTGTTTTTTTCAGCATAAGAAAACCCAATGAATGTACATTTTCCTCTGGATTACATCTTCAGAAGGCCAGACAACCGCAGGAATCATATCAAAACCAAACATGTCTTTGAGGAGGCATATTGAACGTGGCTTTGCCTCTCTGTTTGGCCTCAGCATTACCTGCGCCGACGCCAGGATTAAGGCTGTCGGGGAGTCTGGTCGAGGAAATGATATTATCACACAGCGTCAGGGTGTGAGTGAGGATGCAGTGTGTCCGGCTAAATCCCGCTCCCCCGCAAACCATCCTCAGAGTGGCAAATTCATGTTGCTTTTGGTCTGACTTTCTGATTCACCCACGTCGTCTCCCCCCTGCCTCCCCGTGGAGTTCTGTTTGTTCCCTCGGTTTACAGAATATCACTATTTATTGCTCTCTGTGTGCCACAGATGAGAAAACGTGTTTCTCACCTCAACAAAGCTCTCTCAGGATGATAGAATTTGAATTTAGTTGCTCATCGGGTGTTTGCGACGCCGAGATAAGGGCAGATAAGACGGCTTTCTGCTCCTTTTTTGCAGCAAAATAGTCTTTCATAATTTGAACTAGACTACAAACCGACAGAAAACCGTAAAGCTTTTCGGCAGCTTTTTTTAACGTGCAGAGGTGAAAACTTCTTTCTTTAGTAGCCGCTGTCACAGGATAAAACAACAGACGTCGGCGGCAACAGAAATTCTTCAGAAATCAAATTACGCAAATTCAAATTCAAATTCACGCAAAGAATACTGGATAATACAAAGATAGGAAATGAAGTCCTGCGGTCATTGATCATCAACGACATCCGTATAACGAAACAAACATAAATCTTGTGAGTTCGTCTGATTAAATGTCTACGTAATGGGACGTGGCTCACTTGCATTGACGGAGCAGCGGACGCTGCTGACGCTGCGGTTCCCCTCAGCGCTACGGGGCATTTTTCAGCTTTCTTGTTCAAGTTCCAAGGGCAACACGTCTGCAGTCAACTGCAACTGTTCACGTATTGTCAACAGTTGCGGTTGACAATACGTCTGCAGTTGGGAACGTATTCACTGGCAACCAGCTGTTGCAACCTGCATAGCACCAAACCACAGACCACCATGTTAGCTCCCAGCTAACAGGAGTATCTCTTGGAGTATTCAACATTTTTCTCACATGTTGGTGTGGAGTGAATACTGAACTTAAACGTCACCGGGTGGAAAAGGGACACGGCTTCAATGCGCACATTGTTGTTATTGGTACCCTGCTCATACATGTATGCTAACATATTAGCGTTAGTGTTAACAGCTGAGCCACCATCAGTGAATGGAGCTTTAAAAGGATGCAGCCATTACTCATATTAGTTACCCGAGTTCACTTTCTATTGAGTGAACAGAGTCGCTTGTGCACACAGAACCTTCCATTTCAGTTCAGTTGCGACCAGTCTGTCACATTCAACTTAAATCTTTTCATCCTAGAAGTTTCTGGTATTTTTTACATTAACAGTTTGCGTGCGTGTGTGTGTGTGTGTGTGTTAGTTTCCCTTACCTGCTGTGTCCGACTCGTTGGCATTCAACTCTTCTTGCTGCTGCTGCGTTGAGTCTTCATCAGTCACCTTGATGACAGACACACACACGCAGCGCTTACTGGGATTTATTAGAGCACGTGTACATAACTGTGGAGGAGACAACTACACAATGCCTCATCATCTTCAAAATGCACCATTGGCCTACTCTGTTTTAGAAAATGAATGATTAAAGTCATATTTTCACCTTTTATAAAAACCAAGGAATGGATAAATGTCGTGTCTTCCCGTATTTGCATGAATCCGCCCACCTCTCCGTTCCCTCCTCCTACATGGCCTGTTTTCATCTTTCAACCGATATCACGCACCTTCTTTCATGCCTTCCCTCTGCTCTCATGTCTCGTCTCCACTAATACCTCCACCGTCTGCTCCGGGCTTTGGCTGCAGTAGTTGATGTCGCTGGTCTTGTTGATTGACACGTTGCCGCTGTTGTTGTTGTTGTGCTTCTCGTTGCAGACTGTCTGGCTTGATCTGCACCAGAGGCTAACAGACACAGATGGTACTACCAGCGCAGTAAGTAGACACCAAAGGCACCAGCATTGTACATTACACCGCCACGCACAGCCCCGGGTGCATCCCTTAGTGCTGCCCTAGAAATGCCAACAAGTAGAGCAGCAGCGGCTCAGGCTGTGTTACAAGGCTGGGCCTTTGTGATGTAATTAACACCAGGAGCACACCAAAAATAATCCAGGTCTCACCACCTGTCCCATGGGCTCTGGTCTTTTGAATGATTTCCCGGGGAAGGTGCTTGTTTTGTTTTCCGTTGTCTAGATCTGTGTTATTGTCCAGAACAGTTTATAGAACCTCGAGTGCTCCGTGGAAAAATGATTCTTCTTATCGCCCGATATCCAACAGCCACAGAGAAAACAGCAGCTTTAGAAACATGCTGCATGCTTAGGCTGTGTGATATTCTCCATGATAACAATCAATGGATCTTAAGAAAAGACGTGGTAATGCGTGTGCTTTGAATTGAACTGATAAATCCGACCATTTTCACTTTTTCAACTATTTGACACCGTTTTCCAATATTGTTTCACCCGCGAAGGCGATCACACAGAACACCTGCCGGCAGGGAAGCCGAGATATGAGTGTGCCAAGATGTTATCTTACCGATGTTAATGCCTGTCTGTGTTAGATAAAATACTGATCCATTATATTCACATGCACTTTCCACAAAACATTTCTCCAATGCAAAGAACATACTTTTGAGAAAAGTACCTGCAATAAAAATAACTGTGTTGTCTCATTGATGGGATTTGCTTGTGCAGTCGTTCACTAAATTGATTCTCGATCCATTACTTTAAATAAATTCGGAAAGTGAAAGTAAAGTAAAAAGTAATATTTACACCAACTAACAAGTGTATCAAGTGAAAATAAATTCCATGTCTTCTCGTTATACCAACTGGGTGTCGTACATGCATGATTAAGTTTTGTAAATCTCAATCATTGAGGAACTGCGGTCAGTCAATAAATAAATAAAGACGAGCTCTGAATTAAAATCACCATTAGCCCTCTCAACAGGAGGAAACAACAAAGAACAAGCCATTTCAGAGCAGCCTTTACTCTTGGCCGTGGATCGTTCTAGCGCACCTTTCTCTTATTCATCATCATATCTGCCTGTGGTCTCTATCGGAAGGATAATAATGTGTAATATATGGAGTCGTTATTAAAACAGAGCCGTGCTTCAAAGTAAAGGGTCCAATTGAATGAAGCTGTCAAATGAGCTACGTGAGCATAGCAGTTAAATGATAATGTCTGTATGCTTTTACACTCATAATGATGGTGCTGATAGACTGATGTTTGCTGGCTATGATGCCGACTATATTCACCAGCTTAGACTGATATGGCGGCAAATCACTGTCAAAATTCGAGAGCGCAGATCAGGTTGATGCGCGCGCGTAAATCAAACATGAACTCAAACATGAGCGTGAACTTCCTCGCTCGCGAGGTTAATCTCTGCTCGCGCGAGGCGGAGCCAGTCACCATGGTCTCTACACCTGATTGGTTACAAACCCCGTCTTTGGATTGGCTGGAGTGGTGCATCCACACAACTATAGAAGCCCATTTCCGCACTGTATAACTTGTCAAAAAACAAACGCCCCCCTTCGGTAATCGTAGTGGACCGTAGATGACAACCAGCTACCACCATCATTTACCATCATTACCGGCACATTAAGAGCAATGCGTCCAGCTCACAGACCGGTCCGTCAGTCTGAATCTGAATATCTAATAACTACTGAACTATGGAGGAGCCTGCGCAGATCTTGTATATCACATATCACATTCACTACAACCTCATTATTATTTTTTTTCAAAAAGTCAATCCGTATTGAAAGTTTCACAGATTCACAGATTCAGACTTTTTTTCAGGTATTTTACAAATACGGACCGTTCTGAGAGCTGGACGCACGCTCCGCGAGCGAGCAAATATCTCGCGCGAGACGGACTTTTGCTCGCGCGAGACGGAGATTTGCTGGCGGATGTTTGATTGTACCCTATGGTTGAATGCACTTATTGTACGTTGCTTTGGATAAAAGCGTCAGCTAAATGACATGTAATGTAATGTAATGTAATGTAATTTACGCGCGCGCATCAACCTGATTTGCGCTCTCGAATTTTGACAGTGATTTGCCGCCATAGACTGACTACCGTCTTAGTTTAGTCTGTGTAAAAAATAGCAGACCAACCGACCAACATTCGCTTCCCTGGAGCCATTTCTGCTGAGAGTGATAAAAAGTACATATGGCCCCAGATCCGTATCACAAAGAGGTAAAAATCTGATATTCTTCTGCCTGCAGGAGACCAGCATAATAATCACTTATTGCACATTTACCCACAGCGGTCGGGCCACTTATGGCTCCCCATTAGCGGCATGCAGTGAGAGAGTGGCTTGACAAAATTGTCCAGTTGTCATGGGCACCGACACCGAAAAGGTTTTCCTAGGAGACTGCTTACATGCACTGATAGACAGAGAAGTTGCATGTTATGACTTAGGATTTTCCTAAAAAAGCACGTCGAAGCAACTCCATAACCTCCCAAAAAGGCTTGTGTGGGAAAGCAAGACGACGACGAGGAGGCAATACATAAATAAAAAAACAGAAAATGAATAAAAGGAACCAATAAAAATAACGGACTTTAAAGTGCTTCATGATGATCCATATCCATGATGTCCTTATTTTTACGTCAGCTTGTCCCAAAACAAACAGTGGCGCCGTGAGGGTTTCCCACCTGCCCTTAATGTTCTGAACTACACCGATGACACAGCCTTTGGGAGCTTTCAGGGTTCTGGCTTTAGCCCAAGGACATTTGAACGTGGAGTGAATCGCCAATCTTGGGCGACCTCCGAGACGCGGCCGCCCCACTGCAGAATGGAACAGGTAGAATAGGTGGGATTCGAAACGCCGATCGCCGTTCACCGATCGAAAACTAGCTCGAGTCAATTAGCTCTTCCAGGAAGCGCACACAGAAGAGCTCCATGCAAATATTACATAACACATGCTCCATTCATCCGGGCGTCTCCTCTCATATGCTGTCAGCCTGTACACTATCTACCATCCAATCAGGAAATGCCCTTAAAATTAAAAAACTGCCTCTTGTTAATCCGGTGCCAATTAATGCTCAAGTGGCCATGTGTGTCATGTTTTTAGTTATTCGCATTTATTGAAGGCACACCTCTGTGATTAATCCCAGACCGTGTTTGCAGGCTGTTGTGCCATCTGTTCAAACCAGGAGAAAAGGGTTATTATCTATTTCTAATGTCAAACAAGTTCAAACAAAATACAAAACTACTGAAAAATTTGCTTCGAATTTGCATCATCCGCCTTTCACGGTTGCTTGATCCCCCTGAGCTCACTGTTCCTCAGTAAACTCCCTTTCCTGCTTCTGAACACAGATTACTTTCAACAAGGTCGTGCTTCTCTTCACCTTTACATTGTTTCACTCTTCCTCCAACGGCTCAATCCGTCTTCCCCCGACCTTCCTTTGTTCCCCAGAAAGATTCAAACGTGATTCCCCATCATCTCCTCTCCCTTTAATAATCCCTCGTCTCCACACAAAGACGAGTCACCAATGGGATAAATCTCCGAATACAGAGATACTTTAAAGCAGCAGTGGTCGCGTTGAATTACCAGGTGAATTTTGTTTGCAGCGAGTGGCCGACTGTGGTTTCTGTCATGTAAAGTAGGTAAATCAATCACATGCACTGTATCCTATCAGTCTTTTGATCCTATGGAGGTGTAGCAGATACAGAGAGAAGAGCAATACAATATGCATACGAAACATAAAAAAAAAGGCGAGAGGTGAGTAGGACAGATGGGAAGATTCAGGGTAATAAAAGTGAAATGAAAGAAATGAAGACGAGGAATCAGAAAAGGCACAAGCAGGTTTCAATTTCTTAGAAGAAAGGTTTTTAATACAAACAAATCTGTCAGATAGATGTTCTTTCCTTGGGTTTTCATCATGACATGTGGCATCTCTGCACTGCTGTTTGTCTAAATGAAACCCCAAATTAAGACGCTCAGAGCAGAGAGAACAATCCCACGGCAACACTCGACTACTTTCTCCTTGCAAAGCTGCAGCCACTGAACTCTTTGTCCCGTGTTTGATCTTCCAAGAGATATCACATACATGCACTGATGTTCAAAAGGTGACCGACATATTGTAGACCTCCAAGCCAGCACATTTACCTTATTCCACCAAGACTGAGGGGCTACAGCCAACAGAGCAGTTTAGTGAGGCTGTACCTGCTCCCCCTCAAAGTCTCAGCTGTTTGCTGTCCTGAACTCTCCCTTGACATCCGGACAGCAGAAACCTAAACCTACCTCACAGTTCAGTTCAGATGCCTTCGCTCGGGAGCATCAATGTCCCGTGCAAATCCATCTACTGTACCACATATTGTGAAAGATTAGAGCATGGACAACATGAGGGACGAGGGTTCACCCAGTCACGCCAGAACAATCACAGCAACAACCAACCTTGCTGTGGTTAAAATGATGTTGGTCTATAGCACACTAATCATTGGGGTGAAACTTTGTGTAACACTCCCTTTAACACTTTAACACACCATGCCAAAGACTAAGAGATGATTCTTTCCAAAATCAGAACAGACCAGCAAACAGATGAATAAAAAGCAATGTGAGGGAAACCAAAGTCAACATTTCAATATAAGCCTGCCAAGACTAACACGTGATGGTGGTGAGAGGGGCTACTGAGGAACATGTAGGCTAAAATAATGTGGGGTTAATTAGTAAGAACGTCTGCATATGGATGGAATATTTAATATATGCGGAGATAAGCTGTAGATAAACGGAAGGTCAGAGGAGTAGCCGAGGTTCACTTTGAGAGTCGGGACGCTCGAAAGAACCGTATGAAAAATAAATCAAGAGACTATAACCGTGAATATTACCGTATCAGCAGGTCATGCACTCCACAGCAGCTCTCGCTCAGATGGCCATGCTCTTTGAATTATCCATAAGAGCGAGGAAGCTGACTCAGGCAAGGCGAAGACAACCTGT